TCCCATTAGATAACATTAGGTAATGCAGTAACTAACAGTGAGCAATACATTTCTTGTTTTGTTTAAAGTTGAAGTAACAAAATATATATGTTTAAAGGTCTGTATAGTTTTTTTATTAAGTTTTAGATGTTATCTTTATAGTATTAAAACAATATAAACTAGTCCTGTTTATATAAAATAGAATAAAAATGACAAAAACACAACAAAATGACTAAAACTTTAAAATTAAAAGGAAAACATAAAAACTAAAACCATAAAACTAAACCAATAAAACATATCAATTACTTAAAATAAAATGAACATTAACTGGAATAAGATACAATATAAATAATAAGCTACTGCCAAGACAAGTAAAGTACTAAATTAAATTACTAAAGATAGCTAAAATTATTTTAAATGTCTTTATTAAGTTTTGAGTTTTATAATACTAAAACCTATTTATATTTAAACAACAATAATTAAAAAAGACCAAAGGCTTAACTAAAATGAAAAGAGAAAATATAAAATCTAAAATATTCTCAAAAACTGATATAATACTAAAATAAGACTGTTATGAAGAGGTTTCGGCTGAAGAATATCTGAGCTGAGGTTATTTGGGGTTTTCTGAGCCAGTCTATACAGTTTTTCGCTACCTGAGTGTGGTTTTATGCAATGAAGTGTGCCCAAAAGTCCTTTCCTAACACCAGTCCGGCCTTTAAATCCAGAGCCAGCTTATAAACAACCCCAGGCTGTTATTAAGTTTTAGATGTTATCTTTATAGTATTAAAACAATATAAACTAGTCCTGTTTATATAAAATAGAATAAAAATGACAAAAACACAACAAAATGACTAAAACTTTAAAATTAAAAGGAAAACATAAAAACTAAAACCATAAAACTAAACCAATAAAACATATCAATTACTTAAAATAAAATGAACATGAACTGGAATAAGATTCAATATAAATAATAAGCTACTGCCAAGACAAGTAAAGTACTAAATTAAATTACTAAAGATAGCTAAAATTATTTTAAATGTCTTTATTAAGTTTTGAGTTTTATAATACTAAAACCTATTTATATTTAAACAATAATAATTAAAAAAGACCAAAGGCTTAACTAAAATGAAAAGAGAAAATATAAAATCTAAAATATTCTCAAAAACTATGATAGAATACTAAAATAAGACTGTTATGAAGAGGTTTCGGCTGAAGAATATCTGAGCTGAGGTTATTTTGGGTTTTCTGAGCCAGTTTTTCCCTACCTGAGTGTGGTTTTATGCAATGAAGTGTGCCCAAAAGTCCTTTCCTAACACCAGTCCGGCCTTTAAATCCAGAGCCAGCACATAAACAACCCCAGGCTGTCCACATAACCTCAGGGCTTCCCTCTCCTTTAACTTCAAATGCTATTATACACCTTCTCCAGCCGCATAACCTCAACGCTTATTGCCTGGCGAAGTGGAAAGTGCTCAAATGAAGGATGTCGTCTCACGTGGAAAAGAGAAGAGCCGCTGCCAAACGCCAGATCTCTGGAAATCCAACACTTTAAAGTTTCCACGCCGAGAGAGTTTGTAATGTCGAGAGGGAGTGACAGAAGCTCAGCATTCCAGCACATGAGGAAACCACTTCTTCATTAACAACCTATTTTTGCAATGATGACTGAAAGGGCACACTTTATAAACATTTACACTCGTACGACGAGAGCTGAATTCCCCTGGTGTCACGAGTCAATAAGATGAGCGCAGAACGCATAGCTGAAGTTGAGGGCGTCAGATCTAATCGTTTGACCCTTAAGCTCTTCGTCAGGATTTTATTGTCCAGTTTGTGTTGCCAAATATGAATGCTTGTGTGAGATATTGTTGATAGTGGATTTTTGGTAAGCTTATGATTAATGCTGTTTTCCCCCAGTGTCTGTGCACTGATGTGACCTGTTCTTCTGGAGTTTTAGAGTCAAGAGATTTTAGATTCAAAGAGGCTGTAATTTGGCACTGACCAAGTAACAGTCTCAGCCGATATTGCTCATGATGTACTGATGAAGCACAGAAATCCAGAAAGTCCCTCTTAAAACCAGTCAATGGCCTTTAAATCCAGAGCTGGATTACATGAATATGGCATTTCAGTGTCCCATTGCTATTTTAAATAAGCATTACAGACACACATCTCATGTTTTTGTTAATTTGTATAGTATCCCCTTCTTAAAGATAGAAATTTACTGATATTAAAATGACCAGAAAACTACCTACGTATCTAAAAATGAAAGACAAAAAACTAACATTTACAAAAGGCCTCCTACAAAAATGTGAGTTTTTAGTTGTCTTTGATTTTTGTAGCATGATTGCAATTATTGAAATGTAAACAAAAAGACATTTTATTGATATTTAAGTTTGTATGTATTGTTTAAATGATTAAAGAAATTTGTTTGTTTTGTTTTATGTTTTTTTAAAGACTATGTCTTTATATTTTTATGTTTTTTTTGTTTTTTGTTTTTTGTTTTTGTTTTTTGTGCAATTATTGAAATGTAAACAAAAAGACATTTTATTGATATTTAAGTTTGTATGTATTGTTTAAATGATTAAAGAAATTTGTTTGTTTTGTTTTATGTTTTTTTTAAAGACTATGTCTTTATATTTTTATGTTTTTTTTGTTTTTTGTTTTTTGTTTTTGTTTTTTGTTGTTGCTGTTGTTGTTTTTTTTAGTTCAACAAAGAGTTTTAAACTGTGTTTTATGTCTTCAATTTTGGTACCATGGTTGCAAATATGAAAACATATGGATAGGGATTATACAAATACATACTGTAAAGCTTACAAATTCAACTTCATTCCCAAACAACATGAGAAACCTGTTGGGGAATCTGTTCCTCCAGCAAACAGCATCTACGCTTGAGGCTCCTGCTCACAAAACAGGCACATTTCTTCCACATTCTGAAAGTGTGTCAAGTCAGTCTGAGTTACAATCACTTTCACCTCATTTCTGCACATTTAACCCACTGTTTGCTCTTCCTGGAGGAAAAACCACATTGCTCTGATGTTGCTTTCTCATAGCTCTGTGATGTTTCATGTAACCAATATGGTACAAAAATATATTGTATATATCAATATATACATATATACATTTAGACATTTTTAAAATATATTATACAAATATATATATATATGATTATATATATTTCACTTCCACATTCTGAAAGTGTGTCAAGTCAGTCTGAGTTACAATCACTTTCACCTCATTTCTGCACATTTAACCCACTGTTTGCTCTTCCTGGAGGAAAAACCACATTGCTCTGATGTTGCTTTCTCATAGCTCTGTGATGTTTCATGTAACCAATATGGCACAAAAATATATTGTATATATCAATATATACATATATACATTTAGACATTTTTAAAATATATTATACAAATATATATATATATATGATTATATATACTTCAATCATGACAACTCTCTGAGGGATTGGCATGGTAATGTAGCATATAAAATAACCCCGTAGCAGATCTATACAGGTGGAGCTGGGGAAGGTGGAGGGTTCAGAGTAACTCTGAAAGCACGCTGCAGGAATCTCAAGTGAATGCTAGCCAGCCATATAAATGCAAGGCAGTAAGCTCATTGGCTGCATATGCAGCATGAACCAATCAGCTTGTGCCAAGTCGTTTAACTCTCTGAAAAGCATTGGTTACGTTAACACCCCGTCGCCTGCGCCATCTAGAGTTTCATGACTGAACTATCTATATATATGTATATCTGTTGTAGATTATTGCTGCTGCTGCAAGCAAGTACAGGAACTTGCTACTGCCAATGCATATGGCGATACGGTGCCATGAGTATTTAAGGCATACTGCTGCTGCACAAATAGCATATAAAATAACCTGTAGCAGGTCTATACAGGTGGAGCTGGGGAAGGAGAAGGGTTTCAGAGAAACTCTGAAAGCGCGCTGCAGGAATCTCTAGTGAATGCTAGCCAGCCATATAAATGCAAGGCAGTAAGCTCATTGGGTGCATATGCAGCATGAACCAATCAGCTGTGCCAAGTCGTTTAACTCTCTGAAAAGCATTGGTTACGTTAACACCCCGTCAATCCTGGCAGCTCTTTTCCATAAAGCAACAAAATGACAACAAAGCATCACCGAATGACTTGTGCTGTATTCCAAGTCTTCTGTCCAATCAAATATGGTGCTTTTAGTCCTATTTCATCAGGTTTGAATTCCATAACCTGACGGGACACGTCTACAGAAACCATATTTGACTGGCCAGAAGAATTGACATAAAGTTGTCTGCTGTTTGATCTAAAGCAGTGGTTCTTTTTTGACCTTTTTGACCCCAAGATTGCCCACAACAGTAATCAAAGGCACCATGACTTCTTCATTTGTCTGTGAATTACTGGATAAGAATTAAAGAGAGGAATATTTAAAAATATTTGGGTTGCACTTTACAGTAAAGGGTCATTCATTAATTACATTAGTTAACATGAATTAATGATAAACAATACAAAACAGCATTTATTAATTGCAATGTTAATTTCTACATTTACTAATACAATATTAAAATCAAAAGTTAATGTACTGTGAACTAACATGAACAAACAATTGTATTTTTATTAGCTGGTTAAAAGAACCATTCTTAGTGTGAATACTATTTTAGTCATGCACCTAAACAACCTTTTTCCACCATTAAGAACCTTCTGTCCAATGGAAAGGTTCCACGGATGATAAAAGTTCTTTATGGAACCATTGATGCCAATAAAGAACTTTTATTATGAAGAGTGTTGAAGAATCTTTAACATCCATGGAACCTTTCCATTCCACTAAAAGTTCTTTATAGTGGGAAATGTTAATGTTCTTCACACTAAGAAAAAAAAAGGTTATTTTAAGAACTGTTCACTGAAATGTTCTTTGAAGAACCCATAATGGTTCTTCTCTATAAAAAAAAAACCTTTTAGAACCTATTTAAGAGTGTCGAGTTACAGTGGAGAGCAAAATGTTGGTCTGTTCTCCAAGCATAGCTATCACAATCCCAATCTCGGCCAGATTTTGCTTGCAACAGCTCCTTCAAACACCGGGACGGCTCTCGTTTCCTCAACAAACAGCTTTCTGAACACATTCACAGCCACACACACACACAGGTGTGTGTGTGGCGCACATTCCCTGATATCTGTGCCAGAACAGGAATTGGGCTTTATTTGTGCACTAGTTGATCCTTTCCAGGGACATTGCAGGAACGTGCCAAGAAAGAGACATTTCCGTCTTCATCCTGGGTTTGCGTGTGTGTGTGTGAGAGTGTGTGATGTGTGTGTGAACGGGGCTCGCCATGCGTCCTCACAGGCTGACTCTGCTGCTCTGCTTTGGCTTTGCCCTCTGCCTCTGTCTAGCTGTGGCTCAGCAGCGCTCCGCCGTCCAAGGGGGTTCGGAGCGGATCAAAGTGCTCTTCACCCCCACCATCTGCAGGCTGCACTGCACGCAGGGACGCTGCACCAACTACTGCGAGCGTGGAAATGTCACCACTGTCTACAACCGTGAGCAGACAGGACAGACGCCGCCTGGATCCGGCTTCAGAGTGTGTGAGTAAATGCACTTCATTGAGGGGGCACCGCTGGCATCCTGCAAGATAACACTGTTTAACAATTGTAAAATTGTTTGCCTAGTGGTCTGATTTGCATTTAGTGTGCAAGGTTTCGAACTCTGGTCTCATGTACAGTTTCCTTAAATCGATTTTTAAAAATAAATACCTATATCATTTTATAAAAAAGATCTTAAGATCTTCTTAAATGTATAATGTTATACAGAGTTTACGATATTTATTTATTTGAAAAAGATTTAACTTGAATTAAATTTTTTTTTACTTGCGGGTGCGTAGATGATGGTCACTGAAGTGTCACCGAAAAACCTGCGGAGGCACGTGTCTCCAGTATGAGTGATGAATGGAAGCTTCTGCAGACACACACACACACACACCTACCTATGCACATGCACTGACCCGCAGGTGTGTCAGACCTTCATCTGAAGTTATTTACAAGCGCTGTGTGTTTGTGCTGAGGCGTCTGTTGTGTCTGGTGCTCTTCAGGAATGACAAACATGAGGAATGAAGGAGGTCCTCGCTGGACATTTGCATGGACATTGCAGTACAGTCTCGGGCTTGACTTGAGCATTTGCTCTGAGATGCTTATCAAATGTGTCTTCTGCCACTGTTTATTGTTCTCTCTGTTTGTATCTGTTTATTTTTTTCCATTCGTACAGTAGGTGTCATTGGTGATGTATGTACAGTGGGCTCCAAAAGTCTGAGATCACACTGGAAATATAGCATTCAAAATATAATTTAAAGAAAACTATTTAAGATCCTCCACTATTTGTAGGTCACTAATCAAATAAGAAAATTGATGATATGCTATTTACATTAATTAAAAAAAAAAAAAAATGTTATTAAATAAGAAATTGCGGAAATTTTGGCTAATGAGAGAAAAAATTCCGCAGCAAGAAAGAAAGTCACAAAGGTGACCAAATGATTCATTCATGCTGAACTATTCCTTAACGGCCAGCGCACGCTGCAGGGGAACAGCAAAAGCTTGCCAAATGACAGTGTTGAAAATGCATAGTGAAAGAAAAATACACCCCTCCCTTCATCTACAAGCCCCCACTATACACACACACACACACACACACATTAAACGGCGCTGACCTCACCCCCGTGTGCAATGCCAGAGATGCAAATTCTCTCTCTCTTTCTCCTGCTTGTTTTCTGGGTTTCACCGCCCACTCTGCTCTCTCCTCCTCATATGACAGAGAAAGTTCTCTCCTCATGTAGCGAGTGTGTTGGGAAGCCTGTCAGTGTTTGTGAGCACAGGGCTGAAGGAGACCAAGAGGGGCATCAGCGGGTGATGGATCCAATCCCAATCTCAAAAAAAAAAAATGTTATTAAATAAGAAATTGCGGAAATTTTGGCTAATGAGAGAAAAAAAAGTGAGAATTGTGAGATTAATTTTTAGTTTTTCATTCTGCACCAAAGAATAAGAAAATATGTGTGATTTTTTTTTTACCTCAAATTCTGATATATATTTAAATTAGTTTATTCAGCGGGGAATAAATAAATAAATACATTAAAAAGGTAATTGTGACTTTATTTTTTAATTTTAAATAAAAAACAAAATGTTATTAAATAAGAAATTGCGGAAATTTTGGCTAATGAGAGAAAAAAAAGTGAGAATTGTGAGATTAATTTTTAGTTTTTCATTCTGCACCAGAATGTTTTTTTTACCTCAAATTCTGATATATATTTAAATTAGTTTATTCAGCGGGGAATAAATAAATAAATACATTAAAAAGGTAATTGTGACTTTATTTTTTAATTTTAAATAAAAAAATTTTTTTGAGAGACTTTTATCTCACATTTTTTTACTTTTCATCTCCGAAGTACGAGTTTATATTTCTCAGTTGTGAGTTACAAACTCACAATAAGCCCTTTTTCTCAGAATTGTAGGGAAAAAGTAAGAATTGTGAGACATACACTTAGAATTGCAAGAAAAATGACAGAATTGGGAGATAAAAAGTCGCAATTTCCTTTTGTTTTTTATTCCGTGGTGGAAATAAGCTTCCATGTCAACCTCAATGTACATACAAGAGTTTGTTTTTTAAAGTTTACAAAAAGTAATAAATCAAGGGTTTGTAAAGATATTAGTGATACATAGGTTTTCTGACCTATAACATAGTACTGATTATCATATTAATATACTAAAAGTCAAAAATACCATGATATTACAATAGCATTTTCATTGTATTGTCCCAACATTGATGATATTGCCATGATTTTTCAGTGATATTTTTATACCACAATATTTTGTAAGGAGCGATCTAACAAATCCAATTAAAAAAACAAACATGTACTTTAAGTACTTTAGATAACAAAGTAAATATCATTACTTAACCCCATAACTGTCACGTTACATTTATTTATGAAATAAATGAATACTTATATACAGAATGAATGCATTAAATATATCAAAAGTGACAGTAAAGATTCCTATTTTAAATAAACGCTGTCCTTCTGGATTTTCTATTTTTCAAAGAATCCTGAAAAAAATTTACCATGATTTCCACAAATATTAAGTATGCTTAAAAAAAAAAAAAAGCCAACATGAACCCCTTAACTGTCACCCCCCATTTTTTTAAAATAGGCATGAAAGTGCACTATCCAAACTTAAATTATTGTAATTTATGAACACTTTGGAATACAGAACTAAGGTCTTTTTAAAGAAGAAAATAAGCAGATTATTGCAAAAGTGGAATATTTTCAAAAAATTAAAGTATCAAAAAGTTTTAGAAGTTTAAATTTACTGTAAAGAAAATGCACTATAATAATTTTACATGACAGGTTTTACTCTAAAATTGGTATAAAATTAAAGCCTTATGTCTAAAGAAGTTATGTTCCAAATTTGAAGTTGATATGAAAAAAATTGAGGTTCCTGTGAGATTTTAAGGTGTTATACCACAAACAGCCACCGGGTGCCATCCAAACTCCATTACATTTTTTAAATGCATTTTTCTGTCACAAATGTCTAGCTTTCTCTCAGTATTACTTCTATCTCAAAAAAGACTCAGACCTTTCCAATGGTTTTTTTGTCAAGATTATAAAAAGGTTTGATTCTAAAAGACCATAATGCATTTTGTAATATGACACTTGACACCGCCCACTAAGGGGGAGGAGACCGCCAAAAGATTTTAAAGTACCATTTCTATGGTAACGCAATGTCTGATTTCAAAATCGTTTTCACAGGATGGCCTCTAAGCTTTCAAATGATATATGATTTATGATGATTACTAAAAGATTTGATAGAGAAAAAGGACAACAACAAAAAAGAGCGCCAAACACCCCACAGGTGGGACGGTGACTGTTAAGGGGTTTTAATCAAGTTATAAATATCAAAGAATCATGATAGTATGCTGGTTAATTAGCGAGATCGGCTCCAAACCAGTCTTGGATATTCAGTCCATTTCTGAGCTAGAGGCTTATTTTATGAACCCAAGTTGTATTCCTAGTCACCGTACCACGGTACGCTTATGTAAGGCTTGAACAGTCCTCCTGACTTCAGTTTCCACTCGGGACCTGTTTCCTATTCAGCTCTTGCCTCTTGTCCAAGAGAAAATCAGCCCCAACAGTCCAGTAACATTGTGACCTATTTATACAAGAGCTGCCTGTAATCTCCATCAAGAGAAGCACATTATGAACTTATCACACACCAAAGCTTCCTCTGATAAATGTTATACGTTTGTGTTTTAGTCTGGTGAACATGTCGTATATAAAAGCAGAAGGTGATTTATTTGTGTTCTCCGTTCAAGCTGTTGGAGATAAATGGGCATAAACACACATGCCGTGTTTGTGGCATCGAAAGAAATGGTGTTGGCTTCCAGTTCTGAGAAACATGCAGCTCGTCTCATTTATCAGTTTTCTAAACCTCCGCCCATGCTGTCAAAGCGTCTTTTTATTTGAGCGGATGAATCCTCGAGGTTACGTCTTTTTCAGTGACTTCACGGTCAGTCTGGCATCCAGGCACGAGGCCAAGTGCTGGTTGTAATTTTGCTCGTTGGAGTCGCTTGACAGCTGAATTATGACGACGAGAATGATTCGAATCTTGATTGTAAACATGTAGTGAAAGTTTGACTGCTGAAAAACACTAGATGTTTCTTGCCAGTGCAATCCAGAGCTCTTTATATCACTATTTGTTTAAATAATATTCCTGTCCCGCCTGCATTCATCTCACTGGGTTAGATCCTGATTAGACACATTTGTCTCCGCTATTCTGTAGTTCCTAGTCACTTCCAATGGATCCATGTGGGATTGTTAGTTGTGTTTCTTCTGGATTGTGCTTCCTTTGGCCTGGAAACATTTCATCTTCGCCAAATTGATGTCATATGTTACCAATTTCAGAACTATAGAATGTGACCAAAATGCTCACAAATGTGGAAAAAAAAGGTGACAATAATTGAAAATCCCAACCTAGGCCTATAATGTAGTTTCCAGCTGATGTGAACCCTACACTCTTAAAAATAAAGGTGCTTCACGATGCCATAGAACAGGGGTGGCGAACTCCGGGCCTGGAGAGCCGCAGCCCTGCAGAGTTCAGCTCTAACCCGAATTAAAACTCACCTGCCTGTAGCTTCCTAATAACCGTTCAGACCTTGATTAGCTTGTTCAGGTGTGTTTGATTAGGGTGAAAGCAAAACTCTGCAGGGCTGCGGCTCTCCAGGACCGACGTTCGCCACCCCTCCCATAGAAGAACCTTTTTGTCTAAATGGTTCCATAAAGAACCTTTAACATCTGAAGAACCTTTCTGTTTCACAAATGGTTCTTTGTGTCGAAAAAAGGTTCTTCAGATTACAAAAAGGTAAGAAAGAGATGGTTCTTTAAAGAACCTTTGACTGAATGGTTCTTTGTGGAACCAAAAATGGTTCTTCTATGGCATCGCTTGAAGAACCTTTTGAAGCACCTTTATTTTTAAGAGTGTAATAGCAGTAAAACACCTTAAAAACACTCTTATTATTTATTACACAAATTATGATTATAGGGGCAGATTATCGCTTAATAAAGATTTATTGTTTGAGAGGTGTCTTGCACAATGCTATATCATGAGCTCAAAACACTTTTAACATAGTGCATAATTTGTAAACTACTACACTGTGGTGTTTGCATCACATAAGAAGCTTGGCTTTTCTGATTAAGTAAACTTGCTCATTAGCGCACCCAGTACAGCATTACACTTATGATGTGAAACACTCACCAGACATTTCACTTTCAAATTCCCAGCATACTGTACATACAACAACCAACGTGAAACACGTTTCCAGATTCACAACCGTCTGTTTCAGATAAAACTGAACGCACTTATAGCGCCACCCACTGGACTCATTTCGCTTTGAAAGTGTTGTGAAAAGTCCATAAGTGTCACTACAGGCACAGGGTTGGCAAATCCAGTTCTGTCAGAAATCATCTTATGAGGTGGTGTTAGTTATTTAGATTTGCATGCACACTAAGCACAGTGTGTTCAATTGCCATGGTGTTCAATTTGTAAACAAATGACTCTTATGAACTGGTTCTTTTTTTTTTTTAAAAAGATTCACTAAACGGTCTCCAAGGGTCTGTCGCAAATGGAACACCAAACCCTCACAACCTTCCTCCAAGTCATCTACTAAGTGCAGAGAGTTAGAATCTAATCAGAATTATTGCAGGGACTAAATCAATCTGGAACAAATGTATTTTTAGAAAAAGTGTAGAAGTCTCTAAATAAGATTCCTTCATCACAGGACAAGTAAGAAGCTCAATCAACTGAAGCACTCATTCTTTTTCAGTCTGTGTCTCTGGATTTTAAAATGACGATGAGTTAACAATGTATGTATGCATGCAGATGGGCTGAGCATCTGTGTCCGATCTGTGTTTGTAGGGCTGGTTATAACTCTCCTCCAATAGCTGGCTGCGGGTTTTGGGTGAACAGAGAGTCGAACATGTGGTGCCAAATAAAAGCTTGCAACCCTTCAGCTGCTTTAGTTGAAATCAGTGGAGAAAGCGTGAAATGTACTTCCTGCCGTAAGAGAAATCAAGCAGCTGTTTCTTCTCGCTGCGTACGTGCGTGCATCTCTAAGGGTTAATTAGCTTACCTGCAGTGGCCCTCAGGGGCCCTGAAACATCTGGACCGTGGCAGAGAGCCAGAGACTGTTAGAGGGGCTCCCAGCACGTGTGAGAGTATGTGTAAGTGTGTGTTATCATACTGTGTGCGCGGATGATCATGAAAGATTCATCTTTCTAAACGGTTCATTTGTCGTCCTGTTTTTTACGATATGGAAAAATTATTCCATGCAATTATGCTTTGACATTATATATACAAATTAATCCCTAAATAGGGACATAGTAGTATACTTAAAGTATGATGTAAAGTTCACTTAAAAAAACTTACGAGTATACTTGCAGTATAAAACTACTAAACTAGTAGTTTACTGAGACTATACTTCAAAGTGTACTAAAATGCTACAAGTATTTAATTAGTAAACTATCAGTATACCTATAAGTTCACTTTTAGTATAGTTGCAGTACAAGCTAAAAATATTGATGTAAACTAGTTGTGTACTCAGTTTACTACTGTTATACTTAAAAGTATACTTTTATATACTAGAAAGTGGGCCAATTTAGTTCCGAGGAGTATTGAAATAGTACACTTACAAGTATACCACTAGTACACTGATATTTGTATACTTACTACATAAAGTATACTTAAAAATATACTTGAACTTTACTTAAGTATACTTAATAAAATAAACTTGAATTATACTACTTTTTGGTAAGGGGGAGATGGTTCTTTAAAGAACCTTTGACTGAATGGTTCCTTGTGGAACCAAAAATGGTTCTTCTATGGCATCGCTTGAAGAACCTTTTGAAGCACCTTTATTTTTAAGAGTGTAATTCTCGTTGGAACATTGTTTTGAAATGTGTCTAAAATGTCAAAATGTCCAGTTTTCTTGTTGTGATTATAATGTTAATTAAAGGTTAAAAGAATGTTTCTTACACCGTTCTGACATTTATTTGTAATATTATAAGAATGTCAAGTGTTCTTAAATAGAACGCTATTTGAAGGTTACAATAAAACATTTCTTGCAACGTTCTACTAACATTTATATAACTTCTAAAAAACATTACTTGTTACCTGGTTAGAGACATTGGGTTGAGTTTTTTTTTTACTCAGACTGTTAAATAACTGTCTAGCCACACTCTAGCAACCATTTAGAGGACCCTAGCAACCATATAGTAAAATGAACAAGCTATATCTCTACATTTAAACAACATGGAGACATGGGGGTGGGCTCTTTTGACTCGGGCTGTTAACAGGCTTTAGATATCACCATAGCCACACCCTAGCAACCATTTAGAGGACCCTAACAACCATATAGTAAAATGAACAAGCTTTATTTCTCCATTAGAACAACAGAGGCATGGGAGTGGGGCCTTTTGGCTCAGACTTTTAACAGGCTTCAGGTATCACCCTGGAAATTGTTTAGCCACTCCCTAGCAACCATATAGGGTACCCTAGCAACCACATGGCACTGTGAATAAACCATATTTCAGCTCCAGAACTCTGAACTGATATGTGAGTTGGCTCTTTTGACTCAGGCTGTCCATTCAGGCTTTCTCAAGCCAACATCAAAGTTTGTTCGCAAACTTTAGACTTTAATTTTGATGTTTATATGTTTTCTAGGAATTGTAAAATACTACCACAATTTTTTTTTAAACAATATGCATGGATACAGCAGAGAACCAATGCTGACCCGGCACTGAACCCTGCCTTAAAAATGGTGGACACCTGTGGACTTTGGATGCTGTTCAGCTTCCGCTAAACCCTGGCTAATAGAGGTGTGTGTGTGTGTGTGTGTGTGTGTGTGTGTGTGTGTGTGTGTGTGTGTGATTTTGAATTTCTTAGTATTAGCCAGCATGATTTGAGAAAGCAAAAACAATTGAACTAGTGAAACAAATCTGATTAGTGAAATTAATTTTATATAATTTGTTTAACATTTTTTAGCAAATTCCTGAAACCTCCTCTTTATTTCCAGGATTAAATTAGATGTTGAACCTTGAATTAACAATGTGGTCATTGGACACCACTGAAAACTTGTTAGTTTTTGGATTGGAGGAATTGAAAATGAATAGGTTACTGGTGACACCAGCTGGAAAGTTTTGATGAATCGTTATGAAAGAAAACGATTGTGATTTGATTTCATGTTGAAGATTAGATTTAGCCTTGTTCTGTCTGACTGTGTCTTTATCCAAGGCTTAAGGAGCTCTTTCTGCATGGGGTTTGTTTGACAGATGTGTTTGGATCTAGAGATCATGCAAGAGTGATTGCAGATGAATACTGAAAAAACAACCATGGAGATGCCCTCTCTCTCTCTCTCTCTCTCTCTCTCTCTCTCTCTCTCATGTGGTACATTTATTTTCCTTTTTTTAGGCATGGGCCCGGTCCAAGCTTACCAAATGTATTAATACATCACAGACATGTGATATAGAAGGCATGCCGAGGCCACCAACGAAATAAAAGAAATACAACAAAAAGAGTTGTTTTTTATAGAAACGTTCCATTTTGCGAGGCACTAAACCGAGACGCATTACTAGGTTGTTAACAGCATCCATTCAAATGCAATGATGACTGTGTTCTGTCTTTCATCAGAAACTTATTGAGCTGTTGTGGTTTTTAGAGCAATAATTGCATAATTGCATAAAGTTGATGAGTGATGGATGAAGTCATTAATCAGGGATTTGCTCTGATTCTCTGTGCTTTTTACTCACTTTCTCTGTTCTTTCTCCCGTCAGTCGTGTGTCCGATGTTGTGTAAGAACGGAGGAGTGTGCGTACAGAAGGATCAATGTCTCTGCCCACCCAACTTCACTGGGAAGTTCTGCCATATCCCCGTCTCCACCAATCACATCGAGAGACCGGCGACGAGTGCTGCCGATTCATCCAGTCAGCCGATGATGTCCGAGTACATACTGCCTCTGCAGATGCCTGAGCAGATCAACACCAATGGTGAGAGGATCTGTGTTTTTCAGTAAATGTTTCTCACGGTTCTTTCACAAAAAGCACAGTTCAGTTAGCACACGTTGATTTATGAAGGGGCATGTTGTCACACAATGGAGACCCGATGTTCAGTCATGTCAGTTTGAGAGATTTTTTTTTTAAGTACTGTTTGAATTACAATGTTTAATTTCTACCTGAAGTAAAAAGACAATTGTAATGCACTTATAGTGTACTTCAAATCTCATAAGTATATTAAAACAGTACTTGCAGACAATATAATATTAATTAAATAAAATGCCACTTAAGTGTAGAGAGAGCATGTTCTAAGTGTACTTTCACGACTGCTTTTTAGCATGCTTTTAAAAAGTGCACTTTGTAATAATGTCAAATTAAAAGTTTTACTTTGAAATACATTTTAGATAATTGTTTTAATAATCTTTTGTCACGTTTTAAAGAAGTACACTTATTTTGATGTGTTGACTTACATACTAAAGCACATGTAAAGCACTTCATTAACATTTTAACTGTAGTGTGTGTTTCAATATTAGATTTAAGTAATATATTATTGAATGTATTTAAATGTACTAAATTGCAACTTCATCATTACAAATGTGTAATTCAAAATATGTTCAAAATACGCGACATACACTTACATTAGATGATAGAATGCAATAAAGTATGTTTAAATACTACTTAAGTGGGTCAAAAACTTAGTCTTAATTTCAACTAATTTATACATGTATCAAATTAAACTAGAGTTTATTATTTTTTAATTGCAATTAACATGCAATTAAATGTCTAAAAGCATTACATTCAGTTTGCACTTGAACTGCATCGAAGTATACATGTTTAAAGTATATTATTTCCATAATAGTACGGTTTTTAAAAGTGTGCATCTTTTTCACAAGGGTACAGCATATGTTAACAATTTATGCAAAATTAGAAGAATGGACCTTATTTTAACAAGCACACCATGTTTCATCAAAACTTTTGCAGTAATATGTGTGTTGGCACTGTAATCTGTTGCGTAACTCTTGGACACATACGGATCCAGACTGTTGTGATGGTAAAAAATGACTGTGTCACAGACTGGCGACATTTATTTTCTGTTTTCATTTGGCTGCAGATGTGATCCATAAACGGCAGCATCAGCCTTTTCTTTTTCAGAGTCCTGTGAGGAATTAAGGCAGAAATGTGCCTGATGCATCATGCAGATGTCAGTCACACCTGGAATATGTGAGCGTGTGGTGCTTGAATAGATCATGTGCATCGTGTGTGGGTTTGTTGAGGCAGAATGACATCAGGGAAACCACCATGTCCATAGTTTTTACTCTGAAAGGTGCTCTGGGCTTTATTAAGACCTGATGGCATTTTAATATATATTTGTTGGTGTTTGGCCTCTTTGTTGGACAGAGGTAATGGAGAGTGACACGTGAGGACACGTCAATGCCAGAAATGAACCAGTGTCACTCATGAGCACACCAGGTCTTCAGTAGTTCTTCATCTACTTTCTTTCAGGTAGATCATCTAAACGAAACTCATTGCTGTAGCTCTTTGCCGTTTCATTCTGCAATAAGCAACACCACAAAACTTAATACCCATAATAATGTGTGTTCATTCTGTTCATCTTGAGAGTGTTGTGATTCAGGAAGAGCGGCGATTTCATTCAATTCACGTGTTGGAAGCTGGAAATCGGCATACAAATAACTGACAAGCCGCATTTGACCCACAACCCTTTTGAAAAGGTAGTGTGCTTAATTGTATTGAATGTGCACTTGTAGTGTGCTTCAAATCTTAAAAGTATTTTTTTAAACTGTTCTTGCAAATAATATAGTATAAATGAAATAAAAGCCCACTGCAGTGATTTAGAGACAAATGCATGACTGTTTCTTAACACACTTAAGTAGAATTTAAAACGCGCATTTTGTAAAAATGTCAAATTTACCCCCGGTTTCACAGACAAGGCTTAAGCCTAGTCCCAGACTAAAATGCATGTCTGCGCTGTTTTACCTGAAAAAAAACGTGCACTGACTGATCTTAAAATATGTCAGTGCCATTGTTTTGTCTTAAGATGCACATGAGTAATGTTATTTCCCAAGGCACGTTTATAAAATATACTTAAATGTCCTAATTGAACTATGGCCTAATCCTGGCTTAACCTAAACCCTGTCTGCAAAACCAGGCCTAAATCACTGTTCACCGAAATCTTTTGTCCATGATTATGAAGGTGTCATGTCAGTCTTATGCACACCCCTTCAAGTAAAGTGTTACCCAATAATGTCTTGCCCCATTGACTTGCACTGTACAGCAAATATCATTTTTGTTTGTTTATGCAAACTGTGGCACACTAAACTATTTTGTGTTTTTATTTATTAGTTGTTTAAGTATTGCAGTAAAACTGCTGTAAACTACTGACACTGATAATAAAATAATGTGCGTTAATTCTGAAATTAATCAGGGTTTCTGCAGGTTTTATGAAGGTAAATTACTTTTTAAAACCAGTTAAAGAAAATTTAAGAAATAAATATAATGGAACACAATGTGTCAATATGGTTTCTAAACCTCTAAATGTAAAGTTTGAAAATGCATCTTCCAACTTTATAAAAAAAAAATGTCATGATTATGAAGGTGTCATGTCAGTCTTATGCACACCCCTTCAAGTAAAGTGTTACCCAATAATGTCTTGCCCCATTGACTTTCACTGTACAGCAAACATCATTTTTGTTTGTTTATGCAAACTGTGGCACACTAAACTATTTTGTGTTTTTATTTATTAGTTTTTTAAGTATTGCAGTGAAACTGCTGTAAACTACTGACACTGATAATAAAATAATGTGCGTTAATTCTGAAATGAATCAGGGTTTCTGCAGGTTTTATGAAGGTAAATTACTTTTTAAAACCAGTTAAAGAAAATGTAAGAAATACATATAATGGAACACAATGTGTCAATATGGTTTCTAAACCTCTAAATGTAAAGTTTGAAAATGCATCTTCCAGCTTTATAAAAAAAATTAAAAAACTACCTTTACTCTACCTTCTGAACACACTGCAAAAAAAAAAGTTATTCCTCAGTAATTGTGTCTTGTTTTCCAGGGCAAATGTCTAAAGATGCTTAAACCAGGATACATTCAGAAGCAAAATGACATAAAATTAGAATTTTTGTTTTTATGAGAAACTGATCAACATGAAAATGAGATTACAGTTAAAACAAGAACAAATATCTGCCAATGAGCTCAGAAAAATCAACACATTTTCATTCCCCATACTTATTCTTGTTTTAAGCATAAGCTAAAAATACAACTTAATTTTGACTTCAATTGTTTAATTTCCATCTCAAGTAAATGTATCTCAATTTACGGATCTTTCGATATTTGTATTGGAAAACAAAAATACTGAGGGAGATATTCATTTTTTTCCCAGTGCATGCTACATTTAATCCCATGTCTTTTGTTCATTTAAGACTTTATATACTCGGATTTAAGACCTTTTTAGTCCTTATTTGGTGAAAGCATTAATTGGTGAACATTTGCAAACAGCATTGCAAACTTACAACCAAATCATAATGGGCATCATAAAAAGTAAAAGTAGTTTAAAATACTATACTATACTATTTTGACACTGTACTATGTGTCTGATTTTTGGTGCAAGGTGCCAGTAAACCCTACAGCTTTTAAACTAAAAACACTCTTATTGTGCAAACAGTGACTTGAATTGGGTTTACGAGCACTAAACACTGATCTGCACTGTTGTGTAACAATCTGAATCCCAAACTGAGCCTAATCTTCCCAGATGGGGTTGCAGGGATGTTCATCCAAACAAATAAGGCCCATGTTGTGCCTGTCTTTTCTAGGCCTTTATTATCACAGAGCCGTTTCCATATCGTCTTTAGACTTCAAATCATCTTTTATAAATTACAGAGGACTGGAAAGCATCGGCATTGTATTTAGTGCCTGTTTGGTGAGGAGGGGTTTCTCTGGACAAGCGTTTTTCCAAGTTTAATCTGTAAGAGGCAGGAGGTGATGGTGACTCACAGCTCGAACACACATCAGGAGAATGAGTCTTCGGTTTGCACAGATCCTAACTTGGATGCTCTCTACACCGTTCTCTTTCTCTCTCTGTTATTTCTGGAGCATCAGTCTGTTTATGTGAGAAACAGTAAACTTATTTTGCTCTGTCCTGAGTATTTGAGTGTGATTTAGAGTAATTTCCAGGACTAGGGTTCAGTACATGACCTGTGATGCCGGATATAGAAAAGTGAAAGTGACGTGACATGTAGTGTCCCCTACATCCGAATTTGTGCTCTGCATTTAACCCATCCAAGTGCGCACACACAGCAGTGAGTAGTGAACACATGCACAACGTGAACACACCCCCGGAGCAGTGGGCAGCCATATTTTTATTATGCCTTCATTATTATTCATTTATATGTGCTTTTCAAATGCTTTGCACGTGTGGATCTCCACCCGCTGCTGAACAGGCTTTAAATAAAATAAAATAAAATAAATGAATCAATGAATGAGTCAATGAACTATAATTTATAAAATAAAAAAGTATAATAAAAATAAAAAAATAAAATGTATAATAAACAAATAAATAATCTGTTGAATCATTTATTTTTTTGCAAAGTCTGCAATTTTATTCCAAAATCGGTCATTTCCATCTCTATAAAATGTCCTAAATTGTCCTTGAATTGTCATTTCGCTAATGAACACAATACGTCATTTAAATAATTTAACATCAAATTACATTTCAGGGATGTTCATCCAAACAAATAAGGCCCATGTTGTGCCTGTCTTTTCTAGGCCTTTATTATCACAGAGCCGTTTCCATATCGTCTTTAGACTTCAAATCATCTTTTATAAAATACAGAGGACTGGAAACCATCGGCATTGTATTTAGTGCCTGTTTGGTGAGGAGGGGTTTCTCTGGACAAGCGTTTTTCCAAGTTTAATCTGTAAGAGGCAGGAGGTGATGGTGACTCACAGCTCGAACACACATCAGGAGAATGAGTCTTCGGTTTGCACAGATCCTAATTTGGATGCTCTCTACACCGTTCTCTTTCTCTCTCTGTTATTTCTGGAGCATCAGTCTGTTTATGTGAGAAACAGTAAACTTATTTTGCTCTGTCCTGAGTATTTGAGTGTGATTTAGAGTAATTTCCAGGACTAGGGTTCAGTACATGACCTGTGATGCCGGATATAGAAAAGTGAAAGTGACGTGACATGTAGTGTCCCCTACATCCGAATTTGTGCTCTGCATTTAACCCATCCAAGTGCGCACACACAGCAGTGAGTAGTGAACACATGCACAACGTGAACACACCCCCGGAGCAGTGGGCAGCCATATTTTTATTATGCCTTCATTATTATTCATATATATGTGCTTTTCAAATGCCTTGCACGTGTGGATCTCCACCCGCTGCTGAACAGGCTTTAAATAAAATAAAATAAAATAAATGAATCAATGAATGAGTCAATGAACTATAATTTATAAAATAAAAAATAAAATGTATAATAAACAAATAAATAATCTGTTGAATCATTTATTTTTTTGCAAAGTCTGCAATTTTATTCCAAAATCAGTCATTTCCATCTCTATAAAATGTCCTAAATTGTCCTTGAATTGTCATTTCGCTAATGAACACAATACGTCATTTAAATAATTTAACATCAAATTACATTTGACAAGGTGGAAATGACACTGTGGTGGGACTTTTCATTATTTTTAGGATAAAAATGATAAAACTAAATATAGAGTTCTGGCATGAAACTCTAGATGGCGCAGTCCGATAGGTCTAACTCAATCTGACCTAATGGCATCATTATCACATGGCACAGCTGATTGGTTCTCTCCTGTATTTGTAGCCAATGAGCTCGCTGCTCAACATTCAAATATATGACTAGTGCTTGCCGTAGCAGTTGCAGCTTGCTTCAGAACCCCTCCACCTTCCCCAGCTCCACCTGTATAGATCTGCTACGAGGTGATTCGTGAATGCTATATGGGGGTTATTTCATGTATGATATATGTGCAGCAGCAATATTTCTTACATGCTCACAGCAGCATGTTGTGGATGTATTGGCAGTAGCATGTCTCGGTACTTTCTCTGCCGCAGCAGCAGCAGTGTAGCAGATCTATTCCGCCAAGACCAAACACATTAACATTGTCATGTACATTACCATGCCAATCCCTCCGAGAGTTGTCATGACAGAACTATGTATGTCTATAAATTGTTAGTGCATAAATTAAACTAGTTAGAGAGTTTATGTTCTGAATTCAGCAGGATCAAAGACTTCGATAGTTAAAGAAGCCGTTCTGATTTCAGTGTGTTTCTGTGTCTGATCCGGTCTCTCTGTCCATCAGCGTCCCCCATGGTGAAGGTACGAGTCCAGCACCCTCCAGAGGCCAGTGTGAAGATCCACCAGGTGCTGAAGGTGGGTTACGGCTCCACCGTCCACGAGCACTCGGAAACCGTGACTTGGTCCGCAGGGCTCTCGGGGGCCCGTCCTCACCAGCTGCCGGGAGAGAGAGCCGAGGCGCCACCGCCGAGGGTTCAAGCCCAGACCATACGCAGGGATTCAGTCTACACCGAGACGTCTGGCTACAAATACTGCTTCAGAGAAGTGCGCAACGGACAGGTTAGATTACAGCTCTTCTGTTTTCATTCCTCATCCGCTTTAGCAGTAAAGCATCTGGTTTGGTTCTAGTAGGAACAGGACCCAAGCTAGTCTGGTCTATGCAGGATAAATTGAGTATGACTTGTTTATTGTGGCTCTGTCATGTGAGCATGCTGAACTTCAAATGTAGGTTAGACAGTGTTGTGAAAACTACTTCCATCACCAATACTGTGTTTATTCAAGATTGTTTAGCTGACTGTTTATCCAAAGTACTCTTATTACAGGACAGTTCCCCTGGAGCAACTTGGGGTGATAGAGATTTGTCTTACACTAATTAAAATTCATCATTTCTTCAGCTGTATGTTGCCGGAAATATGCATTACTTTTTTTTTATGGAACACAAAAGCAGTAATTCAGCATAATGACAAGGCTTTTCTTTTCCAAAATAACAAAAGGGGATGGAGACCAGAAGCTGTCAAGCTCCAAAAACGACACAAAACAAAAAAACGTAACATAAAAGTAATACATCCCTTGTGAAAAAGAAGTACACTTTAGCATACTTTTAAAAAGAGTACTTAAGTATAATTTTTAAAGTATTATTTCCATAAGTATGAACTGCATGCAATGTTTTCCCACACTTAATTGCATGCTATTTACAATTAAATGAAAATGTATTATAGTTTACATTTATTTACCGTCAGCTATGGGCTGTGCTTGTTTGTTTGTTTTAAATATGAAAAAGTTATATTTTTGGCAAAAGTAAAAGCCCATTCACACCAAAAGTGAAATGAATAAGCCTCAGGCTGAAGGAAATGTAAATTCACTTCTGTCCAGTAGAGAGCGCAGCTCAAACAATCCTTTCAGCTTTACTGCCATTCTAGACTGCATGAAGAATAAGACGCATGAGAAGAAAGTTCTTGAGCAATTAAAAAAGAAGAAACACAAATGTCATGTTTATCTAAAGTAATTTTTGCTTATTAATATTGTCGTACTGGATCATTGAAGGTCAGCAGCTAAGATACTGGTTAATAAAATAGGATTAAATGCATAACGGATATTTGTGTTAACATTTATTTACTGCAGGTTTGCATCATATTCTGAGTTTGCATTACACTGTTCAGTTTGAGGACTACTAAATCTGTTTTTGTGCACGTCAGAAGAGTAAATGCATGTTGACATTTAGTCTAGATCTACAGTATCATCATGTTCACACAGCAGCACACACAACACCTCTGTACTCACTCCTGATTCCTCTCAACATGAGGACAGGAGAGCTGTCAGCCAATACATGTGAAATAAAGTAACTGGCGTTACTTATTTGAAAAAGAAACTGATATTTTCTTGTACTGTAAATTTAAAGGGGTCATATGACGTTGCTAAAATAGAACATTATTTGGTGTATTTGGTGTAATGAAATGAAACGGCTTAAGGTTAAAAAAACACATTATTTTCCACATACTGTACATTATTGTTTCTCCTCTATGCCCCGCCTTTCTGAACGCATCAATTTTTACAAAGCTCATCGGTCTGAAAAGCGAGGTGTGCTCTGATTGGCCAGCTATCCAGTGCGTTGTGATTGGCTGAATACCTCAAGCGTGTGATGGAAATGTTACGCCCCTTACCATATTGTGATGCAAATCTTCCCACACGGTGACATAGACATGTGGGGGCGTGTTTAAACTAGGCGTTTTAGGAGGACAAGTCTTAACTTTTAAATAGAATATCTCTTTGGGTTTGAGACTTTAGTCTTTGCAACTTTAGGGATCTTATCTATTCACGAACAGCTTGTAACACTCCAAAAAGAAAGGAAAACTTGAAATCGCATCATATGACCCCTTTAAAAGTAATGCATTACTTTACTAATTACTTGGAAAAAAGTAATCTGATTACTTGTAATGTGTTACCCCCAACACTGTTTGCAACTACATGTCATCTAGCAGTCATTGGAGTATTAGTGACTGTCTGTTTAACACATCACTCCATGCCCAACTCAGTCGTTTGAGTGAATGAATAAGTGAAGGATTCTAAAATAGAACATTATTTGGTGTATTTGGTGTAATGAAATGAAACGGCTTAAGGTTAAAAAAACACATTATTTTCCACATACTGTACATTATTGTTTCTCCTCTATGCCCCGCCTTTCTGAACGCATCAATTTTTACAAAGCTCATCGGTCTGAAAAGCGAGGTGTGCTCTGATTGGCCAGCTATCCAGTGCGTTGTGATTGGCTGAATACCTCAAGCGTGTGATGGAAATGTTACGCCCCTTACCATATTGTGATGCAAATCTTCCCACACGGTGACATAGACATGTGGGGGCGTGTTTAAACTAGGCGTTTTAGGAGGACAAGTCTTAACTTATAAATAGAATATCTCTTTGGGTTTGAGATTTTAGTCTTTGCAACTTTAGGGATCTTATCTATTCACGAACAGCTTGTCACACTCCAAAAAGAAAGGAAAACTTGAAATCGCATCATATGACCCTTTTAAAAGTAATGCATTACTTTACTAATTACTTGGAAAAAAGTAATCTGATTACTTGTAATGTGTTACCCCCAACACTGTTTGCAACTACATGTCATCTAGCAGTCACTCCAGTATTAGTGACTGTCTGTTTAACACATCACTCCATGCCCAACTCAGTCGTTTGAGTGAATGAATAAGTGAAGGATTGTGTGTTTTCTGCTCTGTCCTGCAGTGCAGTTCTCCGTTACCTGGTCTGAGGAGTCAGGAGATGTGCTGCAGGGGTGTTGGGAAGGCCTGGGGCATCAACGAATGCACGCTCTGTCCCGCCGTCTTAGGTGAGAGTCTGAAAGTTCACGCCTATAAATCATCTGAGCGATTATAGCAGCACAGTTTGTACTTAGAGTTTGTACAAACACCGGTTTGTTCCTTCTTAACTCATAAACTCACTGATATCAGTTCAGCTGGCTGGAAAAACACATGTCTGTCTTGTAACCCTACCCTTACCCCTAACCATAGCCCATAACAAAGACATCTCAAACAATGTCAGCTTTGCATTAAAAATTACATAACTGAGTGAATGACACTTAATGACAGTTGTCCTAAACATGCATAAAAAACCTTCATATTCATGACATGTGTCACGTCATGATTATGTAGGTGTCATGTCAGTCTTATGCACACCCCTTCAAGTAAAGTGTAACCAAAAAATCTGATATTTTCTTGTAAATAAAAAAGTAATGTGTTACTTTACTAGTTACTTGAAAAAAGTAATCTGAATACATGAGCATTACTTGTAATGTGTTACCCCCCAACACTGTTTGCAACTGCATGTCATTTAGCAGTCATTAGAGTATTAGTGAGTGTCTGCTTAAAGGATAAGTTAACTTCCAGAATAAAATTGTCTTGATAATTTACTCACCCCCATGTCATCCAAGATTCAAATATTCCAGGACTTTCCTCCATATAGTGGACTTCACTGGTGGCCTACATTAAAATCGTTGGCCACCATTGAAGTCCACTATATGGAGAAAAGTCCTGGAATGTTTTCCTCAAAAAACGTAATTTCTTTGCGACTGAAGAAAGAAAGACGTGAACATCTTGGATGACATTGGATGATTTTTTTTTATCCTGGAAGTGGACTTATCATTTAACTCTTCACTCCATGCCCAATTCAGTTGTTTGAGTGAATGGATAAGTGAAGGATTGTGTGTTTTCTGCTCTGTCCTGCAGTGCAGTTCTCCGTTACCTGGTCTGAGGAGTCAGGAGATGTGCTGCAGGGGTGTTGGGAAGGCCTGGGGCATCAACGAATGCACGCTCTGCCCCGCCGTCTTAGGTGAGAGTCTGAAAGTTCACGCCTATAAATCATCTGAGCGATTATAGCAGCACAGTTTGTACTTAGAGCACGAAGAGGCAACAAAACACCGGTTTGTTCCTTCTTAACTCATAAACTCACTGATATCAGTTCAGCTGGCTGGAAAAACACATGTCTGTCTTGTAAAACAGAAAATACAGCCGTCGCTGCATGACTTCAGGAGATAAATATAGCTTTTGCGAATTCTTTGGCAGATGGCATATTTAAGTCCTGCTACTATCTTATTATTGCATCAGTCATCAGTTGTCGCCATCAGCCGTCTGGCTTAGGTGAGAGTCTGAAAGTTCACGCCTATAAATCATCTGAGCGATTATAGCAGCACAGTTTGTACTTAGAGTTTGTACAAACACCGGTTTGTTCCTTCTTAACTCATAAACTCACTGATATCAGTTCAGCTGGCTGGAAAAACACATGTCTGTCTTGTAAAACAGAAAATACAGCCGTCGCTGCATGACTTCAGGAGATAAATATAGCTTTTGCGAATTCTTTGGCAGACGGCATATTTAAGTCCTGCTACTATCTTATTATTGCATCAGTCATCAGTTGTCGCCAAACATTACAGCGTATTTACATTCCTCATCCACATGATGAATGCTGCAACCTTTGCTTTCATGGCTTTAATAGAAACTGGCTTCAGCACCACTGTCATTTATTAATTATAGTGACATAGAATGACATAATCCATGATTATTTTTGAGATATTACTACAGATCAAAACATGCAGTTGGGGTAAGTTGTCACAATGGGAGCCTATAGTATGGCAAAATGAGCATATATAACAAAAATGTAACATATACATTCATATAACTGTGAAACACATAACAATTAATGGAAAAGAAATGTCATAATAATAATAATAATAATAATAATAATAATAATAATAATAATAATAATAATAATAATAATAATAATAATAATAATAATAATAATAATAATAATATTATTACACCAACTTGCCCTGATAAAAATGTGACATATTTCGCAGACCTGCCATATTTTTCTAATAGCTGTTGGGTAATTAAGTAAACAATAAATATGATGATATTGTAACTTTAGAAAAAATGATTCACATTTAAGAGAGTTTTGGAGAGAAAACAAGTATTTATGCAATTGTACTATTGATCAGTGTTATTTTAGTATCATTTTAGTATTATATATATATATATATATATATATATATATATATATGCCTAGATGGTATTTTTATGATTTTACACTTCAATCTTAGTTTTTATTGATTTATATTTATTAGTTTTAGTTGATTTAGTTGTAGTTATTTTAGTACTTAATGTTAAATGAAACAAAATGAGAAATATAAATGTTGCCTTGGCAAATAGCTGAAATAAAATACATGTAAGTCTTTTATGTTTTATTTTGGTTAACCTTTATGGGTCACACTTTAGTTTGGGGACTAATTCTCACTATTAACTATGACTTTTGCCTCAATAAACTGCTAATTTGCTCCTTATGAATAATTATTAAGGTAGCTGTTAAGTATGGGTTCAGATTAAGGGATCTAAAATATGGTCATGCAGAATAAAGCATCAATATGTGCTTTATACATACTAATAAACAGCCAATATGCTAGTGATATGCATACTAACATTAATAAGCGGTTAGTTAACTGTTTATTATAATACTAAAGTGTTACCAGATGTATTTCAAGTAAATAAAATGTTTTTTTTTATGGTTTCAGTTGTAGCTAAAACCTCATAACCGCTACAATGTTTCTGATTAACTTATTTGCTGTTGGTCTTAGTGCAGAGAACATTTGCTAAGGATATATTTTCATAACAGCTTGGCGACTCTGAGTGGTTGATAATGTTAAACACACGGTTATATAATAATTTTACCCAGTGCTGAATAATGACTGGAACAATAGAGCCGTCTGTTACATGCTTCGGGATCTCTGGCTCTCCCAGAGCCACAAATATTTAACCTCACAGGGACAAATAGTTATTTTTCCTTTCTGTGAAGCATTCTGGAAAGCATGCCTGAGCTGCTGGAAGACTTTGTTGTGAAAGCAAAAGAAAAAAAAGAACATTCCTTCCCTTGTGAAAAAGAAGTGTGCTTAATTGTGTTTCTGTCATGACAACTCTTGGAGGGATTGGCATGGTAATGTACATGACAATGTTAATGTGTTTGGTCTTGGCGGAATAGATCTGCTACACTGCTGCTGCGGCAGAGAAAGTACAGAGACATGCTACTGCCAATATATCCACAACATGCTGCTGTGAGCATGTAAGAAATATTGCTGCTGCAAATATAGCATACATGAAATAACCCCCATATAGCATTCATGAATCACCTCGTAGCAGATCTATACAGGTGGAGCTGGGGAAGGTGGAGGGTTTCTGAAGCAAGCTGCAACTTGTACAGCAAGCACTAGTCATATATTTGAATGTTGAGCAGCGAGCTCATTGGCTACCGATACAGGAGAGAACCAATCAGCTGTGCCATGTGATAATGATGCCATTAGGTCCGATTGAGTTAGACCTATCGGACTGCGCCATCTAGAGTTTCATGCCAGAACTCTGTATTGAATATGCACTTGTAGAGTACTTCAAATCTTAAAAGTATGTTTTAAAAACTGTACTTGCAGACAATAATATTAATTAAAAAAGTGATTTAAAGAGACACTTTCATGACTGTTTCTTGACACTTAAATAGACTTTTAAAAAGTGCACTTTGTAATAATGTCAAATAAATTTGTGCTTTAAAGGAACACTCCACTATTTTTGAAAATAGACTCATTTTCCAACTCCCCTAGAGTTAAACATTTGAGTTTCACCGTTTTCGAATCCATTTAGCCAATCTCCGGATCTGGCGGTAGCACTTTTAGCTTAGCTTAGCATAGATCATTGAATCTGATTAGACCGTTAGCATCTCGCTCAAAAATGACTAAAGAGTTTCTATATTTTTCCTATTTAAAACTTGACTCTTCTGAAGTTACATCGTGTACTAAGACCGACGGAAAATGAAAAGTTGTGATTTTCTAGGCCGATATGGCTAGGAGCCATACTCTCATTCCGGCGTAATAATCAAGGAACTTTGCTGCCGTACCGTGAGTGCAGCAGGCGGAATGATATTACGCAGCTACCGCCAGACCCAGAGATCGACTGAATGGATTCGAAGATGGTAAAACTCAACTGTTTAACTCTAGGGGAGTTGGAAAATGAGCCTATTTTCAAAAATAGTGGAGTGTTCCTTTAAAGCACATTTTAAATCATTATTTTAATAAAAAAATGTTTTGCCTTACAAATAATCAAATCACTCTATATTTAATGGTGGACCGTAAAGTGATGTACATTAAGTTATATCTATCTGTATATGCATGCATAGGCTACATACTCTCACATGAAAGAACAAAGCCAGAATGTGGCATAATGAAATAGTGTTTCAGGATGTGTTCGTACATCCTGCTAGAGATCGGTGTGCTCTTATCTCAACAGGAAACACTGTTAATGGACAGGGAAGCTGCCCAAAAGGCTTTGAGAGGGTCAACGGGACGCAGTGTGTGGGTAAGAGTCCTCGCCCCTGTCCTCCTGTGCTAAATTGATCCTAGCATTCACAGTGATCTCTCGCGGGCCAAAACACATTTTAGGAACATGCAAACAAACACTTCATGCTTCCTTCCTTCATCCAAGGGTCGACCAAATACATTCGTCACTTAAGACGGTTTGTCTAGTTTTGTTTAAAACACTGGAACTGAAGCAGATGCTCTTCTCAATCTCACTCACGGTGTAGTTCATGCTGCTTTATTGCTGTGGACCTGATGTGATAAATAGACATTTAATTGATCGTTTTACTCAAAGTGACTAACAAAGCACAATCCTCATTGAGAAAAGGGTTGAAGTCTGCATTTACAACCCATTTTATTTCCATAATGTGCCATATTTCTGTCTAGAGGGGAAAAAAAAGTGAGACGAGACTATTTTATCCATTACAGATCCAAATCCCAAAATGTAAATAGAAGTTGACAATATTGAATTTCATAATGCATGTATTATATTTTTTGGACTACCATATGGTGGTCCAAAAATTTATAATCTATAGAAAATTATGAATATAAGAAATTATAATATAAATGTTAAAAAGCATAATTTTAATTTATAACTCTATTATAATAAAAAATTATATTAAAAAATGCATAAATATATTTATGATATGTTTATTTATTTTGTATTATTTTTAACTAAAAAGGAGTTCTTTAAATCACTTCATGTATATCAGGTATGCTTCGGATTTGCTTTTGAAATGCATACTGAGAAGCATGTCCAGCTTAATTTAAAGAGAGAGAGAGAGAAAAAAAAACAAATGTCTTGCATAGCTGGTAACTCCCAATTTTTTCACATGGTAGCAATTATGACAGAATGAATCTTTCTCGATTTGTCAATATGTGTGAAATCCAGAGACCACCTTCCCCGGAGGAGAATCTGCGGCTTTGTTTTCTAATCTTCATTCTGACCGTAACGGCAGACCAGATGGCTTGATAAACACACTGTAAAATCAATTTATTAAGACAGAGCTGGAGGTGGTCACAGAGTCAAATAATGACAACTCCAGATTTGTTACATATCTCTCTCTCTGTTCTGCTTCACTACATTTCCTCTCCTGCTTCTTCAAACCACAGATTTGTTGTTTCATTATGTAACACTAATGGCTCCTATATTTGCTACACTTAAGGTAATAACAATGCAAACTACAATACAAGGCATCCTTATGTAAGTACTGAAAAGTTTGTATTTTTTTCACCGTAAACATGCATATACACTCTTCAATATAAAAGTCCTCTATTGGCATTGACGGAGAACCTTTAACATCCATGGAACTTTTCCATTGGACAAAAGGTTCTTTATAGCAGAAAAGGGTTATTTAGATCATTAAAACCTTCTTCACACGATGAAACTAAGTTATTTTAAGGACTCATATAAGGAAGCTTTATTTTTAAGAGTGTATCATGAGGAATCACATTTTTCTTGATCATCATTGTACTATAAAAACATACTGTAACTTTCAGGAAAGATATTTTAATTAAACTATGATGCACTTTCACATGTCAGCAACCTACCGATACGTGGCCTGTCAGGTCTGCCTGTTTGTCTGGACGTTTGGTGCTTCTTTACTCGAAATACATCTCACTTGTCCCTGCATCAACCAGATACTGATCAAATAAGAGCAGCTGTTCAATGAATAACATGGACTGACAGATACACCCTTGTGATAAAGAAGTGCACTTCAGCATACTTTTATAAAGAGCACTTATTACGGAAAGAATATGCTTTAATAGAATTTACTTAAGTGCAAAATGAATGTATTGTTTTTTGGACTGTGTAATTTACAATCAAATGAAGATGCATTGTAGTTTATATTTATATTAAAAGCAATTAATTGAACTTAAGAGTGTTTTTGACCCACTTAAGTAGGACTTAACAGTACATCTTGCATCTTTATATGTAATGTCATCATTACGTCTATTGTCTTTGAAATATGGTTAAAGTGACTGCTAAATGTGCTGACAAGCATTTATGATAAACTGAAATATACATTAATGTAATTTCTATTGAAACTTACATGTCATGTATTTAAATATATTTACATTTACACATTTGCAATTTAATACATTTGAATATATATGTACATGTAATATCAAATAACACACTACAATTAAAATAATAATAAAGTACTTTACATGTGCTTTAGTATGTTAGTCAACACATCAAAATAAGTTCCACAAAAGATCATTAAAACAATTTGAAATGTACTTTAACGTTTTAATTTGACATTATTACAATGTGCACTTTTTAAAAGTGTATTTAAGTGTGTTAAGAAACAAAGTCATGAAAGTGTCTCACTTTTAAGCCACTAAAGTGGCATTTTATTTCATTAATATTATATTATATGCAAGTACAGCTTTTTTGAAATGTACTTTTAAGATTTGCAGTACACTACGAGCACACTTCTTTTTCACAAGGGTTTTCACACACCAACACGTCAGGTTATGACAGTCATGTTTCCTCCTCTGGTGTAGATATTAACGAGTGTTTGCAACCGGGTTTCTGTGAAAATGGGAACTGTGTTAACACCCGAGGGAGCTACAGTTGTGTCTGCAAAGAGGGCTACTTATTGGACGCCTCTCATGGGATCTGCATCTGTAAGTATGGAGCTGTCGGACACCACGACTTCACCTGAGAGGAGAGCACTGGCGGGAATATGGCAGGACAGCAATGCAACACAGCTACAGCCTTCAGTCATACACAGACTAAAAGAAACAGTTCTCCCAAAAATTGAAATTTGCTGAAAATGTCCTCATGCCGTCCAAGATGTAGATAGGTTTAATTCTTCATCAGATTTGGAAACATGTAGCATTCCATCATTTGCTCTCCAATGGATGCTCTGCAGTGAATGGGTGCCGTCAGAATGAGAGTCCAAACAGCTGATAAAAACATCACAGTAATCCACACCACTCCAATTCATCAGTTAATGTCTTGAGAAGCCAAAAGCTGCATGTTTGTAAGAAACAAATCCATCGTTAAAATGAAGATGTTTTTAACCTTAAACCATTGCTTCTGGCCAAAATGCATGTCCATAATTCAGAATAATGCTTCCTTCAGTGAAAAAGTGGTCTGGTCTTAATCAGGAGAGAAATGTGCACAGATCAAGCACTGTTTACATGCCAAAACAGTCCCAAAAAAATGTTCTAAACACGTGAGAGGGCATGGACATGGACTTTTTAACTGGAGGAAGTGATATTATGGATTATGGAGTCGTATTTTAGCCGGAAGCAATGGTTTAAAGTTAAACAACGTCTTGATGATTTATTTATTTCTTACAAACACGCGGCTTTTCAGGATGTTAACTGATGGACTGGAGAGGTGTGGATTACTTGTGGATTATTGTGATGTTTTTATCAGCTGTTTGGACTCTCATTCTGACGGCACCCATTCACTGCAGAGCATCCATTGGAGAGCAAGTGATGCAATGCTGCATTTCTCCAAATCTGTTCCCATGAAGAAACAAACTCATCTACATCTTGGATGGCCAGAGGGTGAAAACCTTTTCAGCAAATGTCATTTTTGGGTGAATTATTCCTTTAATGCACGCCAATACAGTACCTCGGATACTTTCAAATCCACACCATAAAGTGAACACAAACGAGTGAAGGTTTTGGCTGTGTGGTGCTGTGCTTCTGTCTATTCCAGCAGGCATTACTTGGCTCTGCTTGAGAGATGCCTGTGTTGGGCGGAGCTATGCTTTGCCCTTTGACCTGACTCTATGCATATGCATCCTTACATCGAGGCCTATCCTGACTGATCGTTCCTTATTTTCTGGTGTTTTCCCATCATTTGGGAGCTGCCTCTTTCTGCCTGAGTTTTTGCATCTGGGAAATTATGTGACTATTTTAATCAGATTTTCTTCTTGTCTGAATCTTGTCAAGCCTTCATGTGACTCTGAGCATGTTCATGTTTATCAGTCAGGTAAGTGTACATACGCTTGCTGTGTCTGGTCCTGTATATGTGTGATTATGTGCATATTCCTGCAGTAATTTGAGCTGATCGGTATGTCATTTCCAGTGGCTCTGTGGCTGATTATTGTATGCCTGGCTCTACTTTAAACTTTGTTTGTGCTGCTAAACCAATCAAAGCGTGAAAAGTTTAAAGAATGATGTCAGTGTGTAATGAGTAGCAGAAATATGTATTACTTTTGGGTTGTTTTTTAAGCTAGATTTGCTCAAGGAATACCCATAACGAAAGCAATCAACTTAAAGGAATAGTTCACAAAAATTATTTGCTCACATCGTTCCAATGACTTTCTTCTGTGGAACACAAAAAGAGATGTTTTGCAGAATGTCCAAGCTGCTCTTTTACACACAATGAAAACAGACAAAAAGGACAACCAAAAAAACACCATTAAAATGTGTGCACTATAGTCTAAGCCATACAATAGCTGTGTGTAATGAGCAGGCCAAAATGTAAGACATTTTCCACTAAAATTCATTCTTTCTGCACATTTACTGTTTTATTTTTTATTTATCTGTTATTCAAACAAAGCTATAACGACCTCTGTGGAAAAAAGAAGTGTGCTTAATTATATTGAATGTGCACTTGTTGTGTACTTGAAATTAAAAGTATATTTAAAAAATAAAACTGTATTTGCAGAAAATATACATTTAATAATGAAAAAATAGCCACTTAAGTACACTTAAAGAGATATGCTTTTATGACTTTCTTAACACACTTAAGTACAATTTTAAAAAAGTGTAAAATGTCTAATTAAAGTTTTACTGTGAAGTACATTATAAATCATTGTGATTTAATCATTTTTGAAAACTAAAGAAAAAAATATTTAAAAATGAAAATAAAAAAAAACAATATTTTAAAAGAACATATCTTAAGCTATATGATTTTTATTAGATATTTTTAGAAATGCAACATTTACAATTACAAATGTGCATACACAATTACATTTAATATAATTTTCACTTAAAACTTATTGTAAATAACATGCAATTAAGTGTCTGTAAACATTACATTCATTTCACACTTAGGTTTATTCTTTTAAAGCATTATTTCTGTCATAAGTTCTCTTTAAAAGTATGCTAAAATGTACTTCTTTTCCATAAGGGTATGGCTTCAGACTTGAGATTTAGAGTATGACTCATATAGACTGATTTTATTAATACCTTTATGGTCACTGTATGCTTTTATTGTATGAAAAGAGCAGCCTGATCATTCCTCTAAACTCCTGCTTTTGTGTTCCATAAAAGAAAGAAAGTCATAAAGGTTTCAACTGACATGAGGGACAGTAAATGATGACAGAATTTATTATTATCATTTTTTGAGAGAACTATCCCTTTTAAGACAATTTTAATCACTATAAGGAGCGGTATGAAAATGCTTTTATGTTCATAAATGAATGCATTTTTATTCACATGCATGATCTGTTGCATGTTGAGATTCACATCCCAACCTGTAGCTCTACGTAATGTTATTTTGTATTGTATCCCCCCTCATAGCGCAGAAGGTGATCTCGGAGGAGAAGGACCAGTGTTTCCGTATCCTGAACCAGGGCTCCTGTTCTCTGCCCATCCTGAAGAACATCACCAAACAGATCTGCTGCTGCAGTCGAGTGGGCAAAGCCTGGGGCAAGAGGTGTGAGTTATGCCCGTACTTCGGCTCAGGTAAGAGACCTTGCAGACATTCAAAGAATGTTATTTTCCTTTCAAACGGCTGCATTGGAATGAACATCTTTAATGCAGAAGTTTGGGCAATGAGTAAGAAGGCTGGATGACAGCACTGAGAACATTGCAATGTGTTAGTACAGAATATTGAAACGACATGATTTGGTTTTTACACAAAGAGTCCAACTGTTCCTCAACTGCTGTGTCCCACCCACACCAGCAACAATAATTCTCTGAAAATGTCTGGAGGAATATCAAAGCAGTTGGAATATACTGTGTAATTTGTTCAAATACCACAAGTTTCTAGCATTGTCCCAGTTGACCCTCAATGTTTCTGGCTCGATTAAGAAACCAAAAAAAATGTGACTCTACTGGACTTTTACTGTACATGGTTAGGGTTATATATGTGTTTTTCAACTGTGTCCATTTCAGTGAATTATGTCTTTTTTATTATTTGAAAGCTGTTACACTCCTGTGAACAAGCAGTGTGCTTAACTGCATTGAATGTGCACTTGTACTTCAAATCTTAAAAGTTTATTCTAAAAACTGTACTTGCAGATAATATAATAATAATGAAATAAAAGGCCACTTAAGTGACTTAAAGAGAGACACTTTCATGACACACTTAAGTAGACTTTTAAAAATTGCATTTTGTAATAATGTCAAATTATTTGATTTATTTTAAAGTACATTTAAAATGATCATGTTTAATAATCGTTTGTCGTGCACACATTAATATAGTTAAAATATACTTATATAACTTAATCATTACCTATGTGTAATTAGTAATTACAAATATATTTAAATGCATGACTTGTATAAATTTAAATAGAAATGGCTTTAAAGTATGCAAATGTAATTAACAATTATAAATGCCCCTTATGAAAAAGAAGTGTGCTTAATTGTATCAAATGTGCATTTGTAGTCTACTGCAAATCTTAAAATGATTTTGTTTTGTTTTTAAAGAGAGACACTTTCATGATTGTTTCTTAACACACTTAAGTAGACTTTGAAAAAGTGCACTTTGATTCGATGTCAAATTAAAACTTTTTCTCTAAAGTACACTTTAAATCATTATGTTTTAATAATATTTTGTCATGTTTAACTTAACTTTTAAAGCACATGTAAAGTACATATAATTTGCTGTGTAGTTTGTCTGTCTTTGTTTAAAAAACTCAAGTTGAGATTGTACTGATGTACCGATTGAATTTAAAGTTTCTGGCTTGATTAAGTAACAAAAACTGTGACTCAGCATCTAACTTTGTGTCCACAGCTGCCTTCAAAGAGATCTGTCCTGCTGGACCGGGCTACCATTATTCCGCTTCGGCTGTCAAGTTTAACCAGAGGCTAGCCAAGATGCTTGACACCGGCGGGCCGCCCCTGGTCTCCGAAAGTGGCCACACATCCACCAAGGACACAGTATCCCAACCCGAAAGCTCCAGGACTCACTCTGTAATCTCACAGTCAGCCCGAATCCAACAAGTGCCATATTCGCCGACCAACACGCAGACCATCCGAGTCCAGCACAGTCCTACAAGACCACAGCAAGCTGACACGGGTTCACAGACCGGTTCGGTAATCATTATAACTCAACCAAAACCAAACATGTCAACAAGTGGCGGCTCTCAAACCACAAATGCCAGACCTCAGCAGCCTTCCAGAGTCCGTCCTGGGAGCGCGGCCACCACAACCAGCCAGCCGGCCAGAGTGAACACACGTGAGCCACCCGCGATTCTTACTAATGCATTTATTAAAACCCACTTGTGTAGATGTGTTTGATTCAGTCTAATTGTTTACAGCTGTTGTACGGATGCAGACCAGCCGGCCCTCGGTTAACAGACAGCCGGTATCACCAGCCAGACCTCCTCCTGTACCGGCTACAACCCGACGACTTCCAGCTAGACAAGGTAAGCCACCTGAGGGACTAGTGAAAATGAAGTACACTTTAGTATTAAAATAGTATACTTAAGTGTGAACCAAATGTAATGCTTTCTATGCTTTTCAATGCATGTTACTTACAATTAAATGAAAATGTATTATAGTTGACATTTATACTAAATGCATTTGTGACCCACTTAAGTAGGACTTCAGTACATCTTTATATGTAATTTCATAATTACGTTAATTGTTTTTAAAATATATAGTTAAAGTTACTGCTGAATGTACTGCCAAACATTTATGGTAATGTGAAATATACTTTAATGTCCTTTCTATTGAAACTTGTATGTCATGTACTTAAATACATTTGTAATTACACATTTGTAGTAATGAAGTTGCAATTTAGTACTTTCATGACACACTTAAGTAGACTTTTAAAAATTGCATTTTGTAATAATGTCAAATTATTTGATTTATTTTAAAGTACATTTAAAATGATCATGTTTAATAATCGTTTGTCGTGCACACATTAATATAGTTAAAATATACTTATATAACTTAATCATTACCTATGTGTAATTAGTAATTACAAATATATTTAAATGCATGACTTGTATAAATTTAAATAGAAATGGCTTTAAAGTATGCAAATGTAATTAACAATTATAAATGCCCCTTATGAAAAAGAAGTGTGCTTAATTGTATCAAATGTGCATTTGTAGTCTACTGCAAATCTTAAAATGATTTTGTTTTGTTTTTAAAGAGAGACACTTTCATGATTGTTTCTTAACACACTTAAGTAGACTTTGAAAAAGTGCACTTTGATTCGATGTCAAATTAAAACTTTTTCTCTAAAGTACACTTTAAATCATTATGTTTTAATAATATTTTGTCATGTTTAACTTAACTTTTAAAGCACATGTAAAGTACATATAATTTGCTGTGTAGTTTGTCTGTCTTTGTTTAAAAAACTCAAGTTGAGATTGTACTGATGTACCGATTGAATTTAAAGTTTCTGGCTTGATTAAGTAACAAAAACTGTGACTCAGCATCTAACTTTGTGTCCACAGCTGCCTTCAAAGAGATCTGTCCTGCTGGACCGGGCTACCATTATTCCGCTTCGGCTGTCAAGTTTAACCAGAGGCTAGCCAAGATGCTTGACACCGGCGGGCCGCCCCTGGTCTCCGAAAGTGGCCACACATCCACCAAGGACACAGTATCCCAACCCGAAAGCTCCAGGACTCACTCTGTAATCTCACAGTCAGCCCGAATCCAACAAGTGCCATATTCGCCGACCAACACACAGACCATCCGAGTCCAGCACAGTCCTACAAGACCACAGCAAGCTGACACGGGTTCACAGACCGGTTCGGTAATCATTATAACTCAACCAAACATGTCAACAAGTGGCGGCTCTCAAACCACAAATGCCAGACCTCAGCAGCCTTCCAGAGTCCGTCCTGGGAGCGCGGCCACCGCAACCAGCCAGCCGGCCAGAGTGAACACACGTGAGCCACCCGCGATTCTTACTAATGTATTTATTAAAACCCACTTGTGTAGATGTGTTTGATTCAGTCTAATTGTTTACAGCTGTTGTACGGATGCAGACCAGCCGGCCCTCGGTTAACAGACAGCCGGTATCACCAGCCAGACCTCCTCCTGTACCGGCTACAACCCGACGACTTCCAGCTAGACAAGGTAAGCCACCAGAGGGACTAGTGAAAATGAAGTACACTTTAGTATTAAAATAGTATACTTAAGTGTGAACCAAATGTAATGCTTTCTATGCTTTTCAATGCATGTTACTTACAATTAAATGAAAATGTATTATAGTTGACATTTATACTAAATGCATTTGTGACCCACTTAAGTAGGACTTCAGTACATCTTTATATGTAATTTCATAATTACGTTAATTGTTTTTAAAATATATAGTTAAAGTTACTGCTGAATGTACTGCCAAACATTTATGGTAATGTGAAATATACTTTAATGTCCTTTCTATTGAAACTTGTATGTCATGTACTTAAATACATTTGTAATTACACATTTGTAGTAATGAAGTTGCAATTTAGTACATTTAAAATATATTAACTTTAAACGTAATATCAAATAACACTATACGTACATTATAATTAAGAACTTAAATGTGCTTTAGTCTGTTAATCAACATCAAAATAAGCGTATTTTCTTTAAAGGATGACAAAAGATTATTAAAGCATAATGATTTAAAATGTATTTTAAAATAACTTTTTTTACTTGATATCATTACAAAAAGTGTACTTAAGTGTGTTAATAAACATAGTCATGAAAGTTTACATAAAACGTGTTTTAATGTCATTTCTTTTGAAACTTGTATATATTTGTAATTACACATTTGTAATGAAGTTGCAATTTAGAACATATATTAACTTTTAATGTGATATCAAATAACACACTAATGTTAAAATTATAATCAAGTACTTTACATGTGCTTTGGCATGTTAGTAAACACATCAAAAATAATTAAAGTTTTAATTTGACATCACAAAGTGCACTTTTTAAAAGTTTATTTAGAAGCAGTCATGAAAGCCACTTAAGTGGCCTTTTATTTCATTAATATAATAGCATCTGAATGTACAGTTTTGTAAAATATATTTTTAGGATTTGAAGTAACACTAAAAAGTGCACTTGACGTCCTTCCATGAAGTTGACGAAACTGTTGGACGTCCCATTTATGATTTTATGATTCAGAAGGGTCCTTTAGTGGTTTGTTACCCAGAGCTGCATTTGGGACAGGACCTGTTTCATATCAGTAGTTGTTAAAACTGTACAGTAGAAGTTAAAAAGAATATGGGCTGTTTACGTCCTCAAATACATTTCTGGACTGCATTTTTTGGGCACTGCTTTTCACTGCCGTTCTCGATCTGTTATTTATTGTCAGAAATATTGTTGTTGGGCAAGATTTAGTCACATAAAAGTGAAGGTGTTCCTCAGGATGCTGGTCTTAAAACAAGAGGTTCAATCAGACTAGAACTTCAACGAGACAGTCATGACTATTGTTACAGTGACTTGATAATCACTTCTCCAAGAAACTGTAAGCATGCCCAGACTGTTCATCGGCCTGCTCATATAAATGACTGACTCCTTTGATTTCCAGAGCTGAAGTGACGCCAAATTCATATCAACCTTGAAAAATGTAAAACTGGATACAGAACTGTAATTTCCTCATCATTTGTCTTCAGTGTGATTGTTTGATGAATATGGTTTTGGAGAGGAATGAATAAATGTCAGTCATTTTAGGAACACAGTATACTTCTGAGAATTAGTTAATCTGATTATCTAAACCACAACTTGACCTGATACTGAAGCATTTTACAAAAGAAAGTATTTGAAAAGCATATTATACAACATACATATGGAATTTGCTAATATATAATTGATTTCATCACCAAGTCAATAACAAATATTAGATAATTAATAATAATTAAAATAAATATAAAAAAAAGTATATATATATTTTTTTTTTGAATGCTGCCGTTTTACACTGTTTTTATGGCCTTGTGTGTGTGGTCCCCCAGATGGCCGAGTGTGTGAATCGAGACCTCAGGTGTGCGGTTCGGGTCGCTGTATTGACCTGCCAGGCGGTCGACACACATGTGTGTGTAACACTGGATATATCCTTAACCCTCAGCAGGGCCACTGCCAAGGTATGAGCCTGTGGGATACTGCATGACTTAAAACATGCGAAATAAGCAACACTGCAGACTTCCACTCTCAAGAAGAAAAATATGCATGGTATCATATCAGTGTACTTCCTAAAAAGGCTTTTAAATCATGTAGATATCACATGTTTCTTCCACACCTCCAGACCGCCTGCCATTTCTCCACAGCATATTTTAGATAGTTTTACGTAACTCAACAGTATTTGGCATTGTAAAAGGATTCCTCATTTTCTCATTGGTGCATCAATGCTTTTAAGGTCAAAGGTCAGGGTGATATTGCTGAGAGGACAGCTAGATCACATATTTATCAGCTTTAACTGTGTTAATTTGTTTTATGCACATGCATGACTTTGTAATGCGTTACTTGCAACAATAAAAGTTACTTACAAATGTATATATGTATAAATGTATATATTGTATATATATATATACAGCTGTTAATTTTTAGTCCATGTTAGCTCAGGTCCATTAATAGTTACAACTTTTGATTTTAATAACATATTAGTAAATGTTGTAATCAACATTTCTCCCTCTCCCTCTCTCCCTCCCTCTCCCCTTCCCTCTCCCCTTCCCTCTCCCTCTCCCTCTCCCCTTCCCTCTCCCC